TTCCTCTGGAATAGGTTTTATTGATTGTTTTTGTCCATTGTGTATGGGTTATCTTTTCTGTTTTTGTGAATCTTGTAAATTTTTTTGTTGAAAATTTTAATAACAGTGTGGCGGTTCTGGAACCCAGACTCCCTTTTCCCTGTGGCTTGTTGCTGTTGGTACTTGATGTAGTTCTTGTTTGTATGATGATTCTTTCTTTCTTTCTTTCTTTCTTTCTTTCTTTCTTTCTTTCTTTCTTTTTCTTTCTTTTTCTTTCTCTCTCTCTCTCTCTCTCTCCTCTCTGTCTTTTTATCTGTCTTTCTGTCTTTTTTTAAGAAAGAGAGTGAGGGCCCACGAGCAGGGGAGGGGTGCAGAGGGAGAGAGAATCTTAAGCAGGCTCCATGCCCAGTGTGGAGTCTGATGTGGGACTCGATCTTACAATTGTGATATTGTAAGGTGGGCTGAAATAGAGAGTCAGATGCTTAACTGACTGAGCCCCCAGGCACCCCTGATGACTTTTCTGAACTAATTTTCCAAAGTCAATATTCTTTATGTGTGGGGCCAGTGAAGTCTCTGGTGAGCTTAGCGATCAGCAAATGATTGCACAGACTTTCTGGAATGCCTAGAACCACTGACTCTCTCCTACAGGGCTCCGTGTGCATATCTGGGCATGCCTTTAACACTCAGCCTCACAATTGAAGATTCTGCCATAGCTCCCACTTCCTGCTCATGCAGAGGCTCAGAGTCAGCTGGGGTTAGGGCCTCACCTAAGGGGTTTTCCCAAGCTTGCATACAGCCTGTACATTCAAGTGTCCCAGATTTTCAAAACCTCATGAACATTATATTCCCCAGCCTTGTGTTATTTGCTGCCACTGTTATCCGCTATTTCAGTTCACAGTGAAATTAAAATACTTGCCTCTTAATTGTTTTCAACAAACACTGTCTGGGGAAAAGACTTTTTTCCACATCCATTTACAAACAGCCTAGCAGGTGGATCTTCCAGGGAACTGTCACACGTCACAAGTATTCAGTTCTCTGGGAGTGGAGATTCAAAGGAGCCCCGGCCCCTTTCCGCACTCTCTGAGGCTTGCCAGGCTGTGCTGGGAGCACCGGTGACCGAGGGGCTGGGGAGTGAGAACGGGTCTCAGCTGAGGTAAGAAGGTCACAGAGCTAGTGTTTTTGGCACAGATGGGGCTTCCTGCACACCTCTGGTTAGTTTCCAGAGTTCAGAGAAAGTACATATTGGCAGTTTCTGCCAGTGTTCATGTTGCTGTCTTCGAAGAGAGCTTTTTTGGGGTCTTACTTGACTGTGTTCCATTTCGGATCAGGCTCTTGTGTGGCTTCTGGTTTTCCTGGGGTTTCTTGCCTTCTTTTTCTTGTAAAAAATAGTATCCTTTCATCCTAACCTCAGAGCCACCCAGACTCTTTACAGCATGTTGTCTGAAATCACTTCCTGAAGTCCTGTCCCCTCGCATTCCAACCTGGGCCAAGTGTGGTGGAGTTCCATACAGCTGCCATCTGGGAGTTTCCGTTCACCATACCTCAGGTTAAATTCAGTGTTTGGGGTCCCGGTCACATCTTCTTCTTCCCCTCCTCCAGTTTTAGTAAGATGACCGACATATAACAGTGCGTTAGCCCGGGGGTATAATGCACTGACTTGAAGTCCATATGCGCCGTGGGATGGTCACCACGGTGGGTTTGTGACCTCTGTTGCCATACGCAGTTACAGTTTTGCACATGTGTGATAAGTGGGTGCTGCTGCCTTAGCGACTTGCGTGTGTGCGACAGGGTTGTGAGCTACGTCCCCAAGCTGTGTGGGTGGTCAGGACTTCGGACCCTTTTACTGGAAATCTGACGCTTCTCCCTCTGGTTTAATTTTCTTCTCACTTTGCTGTGCTGTAGCTTCAAGGAACTTTCTCATGATATGTTGTAAATACAGGGTTCTTGAATGCCTTAAAATGGAGTTGTTTTAAAGCTCTATTTATTCCCTGGTTCGGATATGGACAGAAATCTAACTTCAAGAACATTGTCCTCTTGGAAGAAGGAAAGCATGCCCCCCACATCCTGTGTTACCCATCTGAGAGCCACCCCATCCAGTGTTACCGGTTCTGAGAGCCCCCCCACATCCCGTGTTACCCATCTGAGAGCCCCCCACATCCATTGTTACCGGATCTGAGAGCCCCCCCACATCCAGTGTTACCGGTTCTGAGAGCCTCCCCACATCCAGTGTTACCGGTTCTGAGAGCCCCCCCCCCCATCCAGTGTTACCAGTTCTGAGAGCCTCCCTCCATTCAGCTGTTTTGTGAGTAAACTCTTTTCTTCCGCTGTGGAACTTTTAAGGGCCTGTTTGAAATACCTGAGGTTATGAAACCATGAGGTTGTGTGAGTCATCTTTCATTCGTTCTGTTCAGCCCCCGGTGGGTTGTCTGGAGGCATGTTTTCCTTCGACTCAGGAGCAGTGTCCCGTGGCTGCCGTGGCTTCTGGCACGCCACACAGGTTACCTGGATGGGTCTGTGTCTCTCCCGTGACATCTCCCAGTCTTTCTGTTGGAAGTTTTATTGTAGCCTCTGTGTGTTTAATATGTGTGTGGTCATTCTATTTCTTCCTGCTCCCACACCCCGCTCACACCTCTCTGAGGACGCATGTGGGAGACAGGTTAGAATCTCCTTGTTTCCTAATTAGTTTTGGAGCCTTTGTCTTTGTTTCTCATGCTGCATCTTTTCCCTAAGGATGCAATTCTCAGTGCCCTGGTTGTTTTTTACTTAAAAACATATTTTCTCAGGTCGCCTGGGTGGCTTAGTCGGTTAAGCGTCCGACTTTCGCTTAGGTCATGATCTCGCGGTTCGTGGGTTCGAGCCCCGCGTCGGGCTCTGTGCTGACTGCCAGCTCAGAGCCTGGAGCCTGTTTCAGTCTGTGACTCCCTCTCTCTCTGACCCTCCTCTGCTCACACTGTCTCCCTCTCTCCTAGAAAAAAATAAAAATATTAAAAAAAAAAAAACAAACTATTTTCTGCATTGTTTAGAGTAGGGGGCAGTGTGTCTGGGGCCTGCGCCTCCCCAGCTGAGGAGGGCTGAGGGGCCAGCAAACTGCCCAACACTTTGTGGCACCCCCCTGCCCCGCCCCACCCCACCTCACTGGTCTGGACCACAGCACCTTCTGTCCTTTCTGATGGGGCTTCCCCGGTGTTGCCATCCGGGGCTGCCTCTGACTCTGAGCGGCTCTGCGTCTGCCCTCCCTGTCTGCTGACTGCTGGCCAGAAGCCCCAGGTGGTGGGGCTCCCGGGTGCAGACCAGTCCCTTGTCCCTGTTCCGCACTGCCGTCCCCACACTCTTACTGGTCTCCCCAGAGTTGCCAGAAATTCTGTCCCCGTCTCCCACCTCCTCCCTTGCTCAGTCTTGGCTTTTCCTCTTTGTGCTTTGTTTCTGTGGGTCACAGAGCCTGGGATGTGCTCACCCTACCCAGAGTGACATCTTGAACAGGAAGCTTGTCCTGTCTGGGTCCCCTCCGTGCTTTGGCTCTCCCCTCCTGTGCAAGACCAACAGCATGAGAAGCTTGCCCAGATTTGGAGATTACTGTTATGTAAGGCTGGCTGGGAGGATTTTATTAAGGCGAGCTTGCTCCTGGGGTGCCCCATTGCACACCCAAATTCATGGTTAAGGACAGCTGATGGGCGGGGATTGGATCCCCTGGGAGTGTGCCAGGTCCTGCCTGTGTCTTTGCAGAGCTGGCCAAGTCACCAGTAAACCCCCCCAGAGGTTGGGTGCCGGGCTGCTGTGCCCATGGGACACCCCAGCCTGCATGTGGAACTGTGTGGACAGTGGCTCACCTGCCCCCAGGCACAGCCTCGGAATTCTCCTTCCCCTAAAAAGCCCGGAAAAGCCGCCTCGCAGTGGTGACTCTGGATGCTGGTGACTCCGGATGGCATCTTTCTGTCTACTTGAGGGTATTTGAAGTACAGTTAGGTTACAGTAGCCAAGCCTGATTATCTGCAACTCTGAGAGTTTCTTTTCAACATTTTATGTTTAATGAGCACTTCCAGAGCCATGTGGTTGGATCGTCTCCACACAGCACCCTTAGGAAGGCCTGGGTTCTCCCCTCCAGTGTCCCTTCACTTAATGCATTCTGTACATACGTTCATGAAAAGATTTTACATTATAGACACGGATTTCAGAGTTTGGAAAGAGACAGGAGTGGTTTGCTGCCCTTGTCCAGTTCCTGATCTGACGAGGCTCCCGAGCCCTGGGGGCTGCTGGCCAGTGTGGTGGCAGAGGCAGATGTGGGGTGCGGGTGTCCCCACGGAGGGGCTGGGGGAGAGGCGAGGAAGGGGGACAGGTGTCCCCAAGAAGGGGATAACCGGGGAGGGGGCAGGTGTCCTTACAGAGGGCCTAACAGGGAAGGGGGCAGGTGTCCTCACGGAGGGACTGGCAGGGAGGGGCAGGGGAGGGGGCAGGTGTCTACACCAAGGGACTAGCAGAGGGGGGTGGGGGAGGGGATAGGTGTCCCCACGGAAGGACTAGTGGAGGGGGTTGGGGAAGGGGGCAGGTGTCCCCACGGAAGGACTAGTGGACGGAGGTGGGGGAGAGGATAGGTGTCCCCACGGAGGGTCTCGATCTCTGCTTGGAAGCCTTAGCAGCTCCTGGAAGAGGGCTTGCAGGGCCTCTGCACCCTGTGCAGACGGCAGGACGGAGAGAGGGCACACCCCACCTACGCCACCCGCACTCGCCTCCTGTGTGGGCTCGGTCTCCCCTGATGGAGCAGGGGTTCTGGTGGAAAGCCAGCAGTTTTCCCCACATCATCATGACAACACGTCGAAACAGAACTTGCAGTATGTTGACTTGAAGGGGATGGAGACGCGCAGGCCAACTCAGGCATAACTTGGTTGGGACAGTGGTCCTTGTCCAGCTGCCCGCTGCCCCTGGGGCAGTCCCGCATCGTGTTCCGGTCTGCACCCAGGCCCTGCTCTGGAACGTGCTAGGCACCACCTCACGGCACCAGCTGATCCCCTTCTCCTTGGTTCCAGGTCTCGGTGGCCCTCAGCAGTAGCTCCATTCGGGTGGCTGTGCTGGAGGAGGGTAGGGAGCGCGTCCTCATGGAAGGGAAGTTCACCCACAAGGTCAACACCGAGAGCTCCCTCTGGAGCCTGGAGCCTGGGAAGTGCGTTCTGGTGAGTGTGGGCATCTCTGGAGGGCTGCGGGAGGGCGTGGGGGTCCCATCGGTGGGGGGGGCTGGATTCCTGTGGGCCAGGGCGCAGCTTAGGGCACCTTTCCTGGTCTCGGCCCTGTAGGCCCTGCCACTTGGCTCTCTGAAGTGGAGCTGATGTTTACATGAAACCCAGGGCGGTCTGTGCTTGGGTGCACGTGGTGGCCTCAGGCGATGAGCACCGTGGAGTACCCAGCAGGGTCACCCCTGCACGGCAAAGCTCGCCCGGGTGTCTCCCCCAGTCCCAGAGGCTCCTGCTTGCAAGGCCTTGGCCACGTCTGGGGCACAGCCAAGCAGGGTAAGAATCGAGAGGCAGGTTGATTTCAGGGGTGCCCTACCAGGGAACGCAGAGAGCACGGTTGGACCGCTCATTTGACAACGGGGTCTCGCTGAGCCAGTCGGGGCTACAGAGCCCCATCAAGAGCTTCAGCGCCCCACTGACTGGAACCTTCTGTGGCTCCGGCCCCTCTTCAGGGCCTTGGCTTGGTTGGTGGGTGCTGCCCGTCGGGGTTGCATATGACACAGGGTGCCTCACCAGGATGGAGGAGGGGACAGGCCCACAGGAAGATACCAGGTCTTAGGATAAAACCTAAGAGTTTCAAAGGCACGTTGTGTGCCAGGAAGGAAGGAAGCAAAAATGCGTGTTTTCAGTTTCGTGAATACCTGCCTATCTGCGGAATGGGTGCCCGTGGGCCGGCCTGTCTGTGGGACCAGCAGGGCCGTGGGGTGGAGAGGGGTCTGTCAGTGCTGGGGTGCCGGAATCCCAGGCACACACAGGGCCTCCCCACGTGACGAGGACACCAGGTTGCAGAGCGCAGGTCTCGTTTGCCCGGCCCTTGTTCTCAGCCTTGCTTTGCACTTCCCTGCCCTTGCAAGGTTTCCCTTCTCTCTGTGAGAGTGTGATGGTTGACACCAACTCCCCCTTGTCACTCTGGGGCTCAGACCCTCTCACCGTCAGGCCGTACCTCCGTCCCCCAGTCCACCGGGGCCGTCCCTGCACTCTGGCCACATGGGCGGTCACATCTCCAGCTCCTGTCGTTTGTAAAATGCCTTCTCGGTCACAGCCTTACTTCCCATGGTTGTGGGAGGCAGGGTCAGGTCTCCTAGGCCCCCACCCCACGACCACCACCGGCAGGTGGAGCTGTGAAGCTGGTGCCCGCAGATGAGGGCACCTCACCCTCCAGTGTGGGGTGCAGCGGCTCCAGAGCGGGGCCCACAGGGAGTCCAGGTGGTACTGTGATTGTGTTCCCTGTAGGAGCACAGCCGGGAAGCCCTCCCCTCACAGCCCGTCTGCTCTGATGCTCCCTCCGGGATGTGTGAAACCGTGTCCCTGCGAGTACGGGCCAGCCTGAAAGCCACTGTGATCGGTGTACCCAACGTCCCTGCTATGGAGATGTGCTGTGGGTGACTCAGTGGCTTGTCTCGTAGCACCTTTGCTTGGCAGAGGCGACTTTGTTTGTTCTGTGTGCATGTGCCTGAGTGTGGCTGTGGCCGGGATGGACACATGCACCTCATCATCCTGGCTGCCACTTACAAGCACACGTGGGGCCAGGCTCGGTGAGTGGCTAGTAATGTGATCAACTCTACGGAAGCTCGCTCTCCAGACCTGTTTGCTGAGGCTACACTGGAAGTGGCTTCCCAGTGAGGCCTGTCTGTTCCCTCCCTGTCAGCCCTTGGGGGCAGGGAGGAGCACTTGCAGCAGGTGGGAGGCCTTCTGTGGTCGTCCTCCCCATGCCCGGAGCTGGTGCATTTGTCGCTGCCTAGGAACACAGCTTTGGGGAGTCTTCCCTGCAGGCCCCCTGCCAGCAGGGCCCATGTGGGAATCGTGGGTCCCCTGGTCCTAGACAGGTCCCTCCCTGCTGTCCGCAGAGCGCTTGACCCTCAGTGCTGGCGCCGCATGTATGCCGGCCTCACTGTGTGCATATCAGTCCCTGAGCTCACCTGTCATCCCGGCCCTGGCACGGCTGGCGTGTTCTGCCCATGGAATGCAGTCCTTCCTTCCCCCTTGTCCCCTCCCTCCTGACCATAGGCTGTGATCTGGGTTTGATGGTTTATCCGTTGGTGACGTTTGGGCTCACGCACCTGAGATGCTACCGTGGCTCAGTGAGCGTGTTGCTCTGACACGTGAAGACCCTGCTTGTGTTTGCTGCTGGGAACAAGCCCGGGTCCCTCCCTTGGGCATCCGAGGTAGATGGCAGAGCTCCAGGGCCTCCCCTCTGATCAGCATTGCCTGGCGTCAGGAACCTCATCAGCTGTATGGGAACTCCAGTCCTCACCCTTGAGTTGAGGTCGAGAGCCGTGATTGGTCACTCCCGACACATAGGTTGCTGGGCACCAGGGCCACCAACAAACACAGTCAGGAGCCTCTCTCCCAAGGGCTACAGTGGGCTCAGCATGCCCCAGTGTCCTCACTAGAGCCTGGAACCTGCACATAAGACTTCACAGGAGAACGAGAGGGAAATGTGAGACGGAGGAGAACGAGAGGGAAATGTGAGACGGAGGAGGACCCACAGATGGAGGGGTGACATGAAGACAGGCAAAGACTGGGGTCACAGCCCGACCTCAGACCCTCGGGAGGGGCCAGTCGGCCTCACATGGAGAGGGCAACTGTCCCCTGCTGCCCCAGGGCAGTGACACGGGCCTCGGGTGGCAGGGTGTCCACCAGGGCCTCGCACAGCAGGTGGGGGCCCCAGGGCTGCCTGTCACCTCGCTGGAGTCCTTGGTCCGCACCTCTGACCTCCCAGCAGGTGATGCTGCTTGCTTCCCAGCCGCCCCCCTTGCCCGAGTGGATGCTTTGAGAGCAGGCAGGGGTGGCAGCTAAAACCGGATGACAGCTCTTGCCTCCCTCCCTCCCACACTCGAGAATGCCTCTCAGGCAAGAGACGTGAAGTCAGCACCTCCCCCGACCGTTCTGTCCCAGAACCGCCTGGCACACTGTCCTCGGTTCCCCTCCAGGAGGTGCTGGCGACTCGGTGTCATGGGCGGTGGGGGGAGGTATCTGAGGGTGGAGGGTCGAGGCCGCATCCCAGGTGGGGCTGGTCCATCAGCTGACCCTCTAGCTGGTCAGGTGAGCTCAGGAGGTGCAGGGTGCTCTGGGACCCGTGTCTGCTTGAGGGACACGGGGGTGACCGTGTGGACTTGCTTTGTCCCCTCGTACCTGGATGACTGACTTAGATCATTTCCTTAAGTTCACCTCTCATGAGCAGAGTCACAGGCTGACTATTCCTTGGCCCTTTGCCAGGGACTCCCCCCTGTGCTGTTTCTGTGCTGACCCCAGGTCCCCATGTGTCCTGACTACTGGCCCGCCCACAGTCCTTTCTCTGTCTCTCTCCATCCGCTGGGGGGATGTGGGTTTCTCAGGAAAGGCCTTCCCATCACCATCTCCTCACTCGCGGCCACCAGCATCACGGAGATGTATCCTCCTTCCTCCCAAATGCAGATTAAATAACATTAGCATTTTGGCGCATGCCAGAAGCCTGGAAACCGTCCCTAGAATGAAATGCAGGCCCTTGGCCTTCACGCTCTCGTCTCCCTGGGAGTTTCTCAGGTCGGCCAGCACCTTTCACCACCGAAGGCGTACCTGAGCCCCAGCAGGGAGGAAGGGTGGGGGGGCAGGGATGTGCTGGCAGCACCAACGGGCCGCGCTCCCAGGGAACGCAGCTACTGCCCCTCCGTCCCGTGGGGACCCCGCTCCACACCACTCGGCTGCCCGGTGCTTTCAGCACATGGGCCCCCCCCACCCCGCACCACTGACTTGTCCTATTTGGCCCACATGGTGCTTTGATTTGTAAGCTTAAAAAGCTCGTCAACAACATGGAACATCGGGAGATGGCCCATGACCGTGCTACCTCCGGAAGATTCTGGATGCAGACCCCATCCTCTCCCAGAAAGGCCTATAGCGAACAGCTCCCCGTTGTCTGACCTGGGTTCCAGGCACCTCTGTGGAGCCCCGGCCACAGCACGTACGGACGCCTCCCCAGCCCACATAGTCCAGAGGGCACCTCACCAGGCACACGGCTGCCTGCTTGGATGGGCAGCCCTGGAGGGAGGAGGAGGAGGTAGAGGTGAGGGCTCTTCGGCACAGGTTGTGGGCGGGCTGGGCTCGTTCACACGGGGCTCGAAGTTTCTGTGAGGACATTTCGGGAAACTGGTCCTGGGTCTGGAACCGGGTCCCTACAGGATCCTGGAGGGAGGCCAGGTAAGCAGGGCATGTTGCGATTGCCCCCACCTGTCAAGCCTGAGACGGAGCACCAGCGCAGTCGGGGATGGGAGTGAGTGGGGGCCTTTGAAATGCTGGGTGCCCAGGAGGAGTCTCTGTGGACACGGGTAAATGGCTGTCATGGAGGAGGAGCCCTGCTGCCACTGTGGGGAAGACGGGGTCAAGGAGGAACTCACAGTGCATGTGGCAGCGTGATGCTGGGAAGGTACTGTGTCACCTGTGCCGTGTCCTGTTGGGGTTGCTTCCCTGAGTTTAATCAGGAGGAAACACCAGACAAGCACCGAATGAAAAGTGGTCTTTAGGAACAGAGACTGGAACATTCCAGGTGAGCAGGGCAGGACCACTAAGGTGCATTCAGGACCCCGACCTGCATCCCATGCTGGAGAAAAGGTGGGCTGAGCTTCTAGTAGTGGAAGGAGGCCCTCGTGGAAATGCCAGGAGTCAAGGGTCACATGGTTCAGAAGAAACTCCTGGGGTTTGCTGTGTGTTACACGTGTCCTTAAACAGAGAGGGCCTGTGTGTGGACATGCAGTGGCAGAGTGTCCTGGGGGGAGTCCAAGAAACAGGCATATGGGTGTGTTTAAAATTATTCCAAATAAAATCTTGGAAAACCCAAGATGCAAAGAAGCTTGAGAACAGGCTCGCGCCCTCAGTAGTCCGGGGCACATGACCTGGGTCTGCTGGGCGGCCAGGCAGCGGGCCGGGAGCTCTGGGGGCCGCTCTGCTGGGGTGCTGTGTTTGTTGGCACTCAGGATGTATCCCCAGACTGCATCTCCATGAACTCAATTTTTAGGGAAGTAACAAAACATTAGTGAAAAATCAAAACACAACATCAGGCCGTCTGACTCCTTTAGACTTGGGGTCTCGAGCTCTGTCCGAAGGGCATCTCCTTGGCGACGTCTTGTTTTGGCCACTGTTACAGCAATGTGGATGTACTACAAGGACACCATGCTGAGTGCAAAAGGCGGGGCCCACTGAAGGACGTGTGATGTGTCCCAGGGTTGCTCGCAGGCATGGGGCTCCTTTTGGGATGATGCCGCCGCAGAACTGGGTAGAGGTGGGGCTTGCATCGCACTTGGACGTGTTGACACTGACTTGTTCGCTTTACTTTTCTTGTTTGTTTACTTTGAGAGAGAGAGAGAGAGAGAGCAAGTGGGGAAGGGACTGGGGGAGGGGGAGAATCCTAAGCAGGGTGCACACCACCAGTGCAGAGCCTAGCAGGGAGCTCGATCCCATGACCCTGGGATCATGACCTGAGCTGAAGAGTCAGATGTTCAACCGACTGAGCCTCCCAGGTGGCCCTGTTGAGTTTCACCTCAGAAAAAAATTGTTTTAAAGGTGGTGTTGAGCTTGTCTGTGTTTTTGTTGGCTTTGCAGAGGGCCCATGAGCATTTGCCTTGTGGACCCAAGATGTGTGGGCGGTGAGGCCCACTGGGTTCCTTGTGTACAGCGTCAGTCCGTTCTGTCCCCAGGCTGCACAGGGCCTGGTCATGCGTGTGGACCTGTCCAGACACCCTGCATGAGATTCGTGGTTTGTGTGAGGGTCTCTGTTTCCCGAGACGGATCGGCCTGAAGCACCGTGGGCATCTTGCGGGGATAATGGGAACCGAGCACAAGCACCGCAGGTGTCTCACGGGGAATAATGGGAACCAAGCGCAAGCACTGCGGGCATCCCGCGGGGAATAATGGGAACTGAGTGCAAGCACTGCGGGTGTCTCGTGGGGAATAATGGGAACCGAGCGCACTCCCACTTGGAAGGTTTTCGTTGCATTGGAAGGAACACAGATTTGCACCTTGGTGAAGATTCTCGATGTTGAGGTCTTGGCCGGTCAGGTCCCTCCACACAAACTGCTGAGCAAAGTCAGTAAGAAGCTGACTGAACAGAGCATCTGGAGACAAAATCCACCCCACGTGTAGACCGTGGCGTTGGCTGGGAGAAGTCCATCCTCTGCTGGGCCTGCAGACGGGGGCCCTCGGAACCTGCTGTCCCCCTGGGGTTCACACCACACCCCCCCTGGGACAGTTGGTTTGGAAGGGGGAGGCTCATTTTGTCGTGCCAAGGTTGATGCTGTCACCGTCACCATGCTGTGACCCTCTCACCGTGCGGCCTGCCTCATATCGGTGCCCACACCCCGAATCCTCCTCAGGAACCTCAGAAATGTCCCTGGTGGGGACCAGGTCTGGGTTGGCAGTGTCAGGATTGCCCTCTGGCCAGTCCCCCTCTCCCCCGGGTGCTGCCTTGAGTAGGACTTGCTCTGGCTGCTGGCTCATCACGTCTGCCTTCCCTTCTGACCCTTCGGGTTGTGACCGGGGTTTCAGGCCATTGGACAGTAAGTGGACAGTATGAGGGAAAGGGGGCCTCCTATCTGTCAGTTCTTGGCCACCTCCCCGTGTGCGGCTCTGACACTTGGTCATGTGCTGGGCGAGCAGGCAGGGCTGCAGCACATGGATAGAGGCTCTTGTTTCGGGTCAAGTGTGTCCTTGGTGGTGCAGGGAGGCTGTGATGGGAGCTGGGCTGGGGCCCTGGCCGCCTCTGCGAGGACATGGGGGGTGGGGTGGGGGTGGGGTGAGGTCTGTCTTCCCCCGCCCCCGCCCTCTGACCGGTGCCTCCCCATACTGAGCCCCATCCCCCCACCTGCCCCAGGTGAGCCTGAACAAGGTGGGCGAGTACTGGTGGAGCGCAGTCCTGGAGGGCGAGGAGCACATCGACATTGACAAGATCAATAAGGAGCGATCTATGGCCACGGTGGACGAGGAGGAGCACGCTGTGCTGGACAGGCTCACCTTTGACTACCACCAGAAGCTGCAGGGCAAGCCACAGAGCCATGAGCTGGTAAAGGACGGCGAGGCGGGGCAGGGGTGAGGGGGACCAGGAGGTTGATGGGGGGCGGGGAGTGTCCCTGCCTTGGTGTCACCGGCCATGCTCTAGCCTGGTCACCATGTGGATGGGGCACTGGTTCCACAGCTGGACAGGGCCCAGGTGGCGGGGCCGCGACGGGCCAGTCCACACAGACACAGTGACTCCACACATGATCCTAGCTCTCCCCTGCCCGCAGGTCCTGTGGGAGGCTGACCAGGGGTCACGGGAAGTCCTCTTCCAAGTCGCTTTGGAACAAATGTCGGGGGCGTGAGACATCTGGGTGGCCAGTGCCAGGCGGGGGGGTGCCAAGTCCGCAGAGACCCACACTGGGCAGCACACGCTGGGGCCAGAGAAGACAGTGTCTTGGGTGTGATCATTCCTCCCAGGAGCAGAAGAAAGGGTCCTTTTTCTCAGGGTACTGTTGGCTCCCCTTGTTGGGAGTTGGAGACCCCAGTGGGACCATACCTGGACAGGAGAGGGGCTGTTGCTGGCACCGCGGCTTCTGCCTCCTAGGGTTTGTTGTTTTGTTCCACGTGCATCAGACACAGGAGCCCCCCAGTGGCATTGGGATTCAGAGATGTCCTGGGGCTTCACTGTGGTCCTGCCATGTCGGGGGTCTGCTGCTGGTGTGCCCCTCCTGCCTGCCCCCAGGGGCTGTTTGTCCCCCACCCGCCCCGCCATCCAGCCAGCTTTCCTGTGAGGTCTCTCAGGCAGTGCTGACTGCTGCATCCCAGGTGGGCTCCTGCCCAGAGTCTCCGAATCTTCTCTCGGCTGGGCTCCCCGACCACCAGGGCTCACAGGGCTGGGGGGCTAACGTGGACCGTAGGGAGCTCTTGGGCCTCTTGTGGGCTGTCTCTCTCCGGCTGTGACCACTGAGCTCGCAGGCAGGGGTGGGGGGTCAGCTGAGCGAGTCTAGTCACACGACGGCCGCCTGTGGCTGGTGGACGAAAGCTGTGTGGATGTGGTCCTGAGGGAGGCTCCAGGACTGCTGCTGTGGTGGGGAGGGCAGGCTGCTCAGGCCAAGGGGGCCTCAAGAGGTCCTCAACGACAGGCCCAGAGCGGGCAGCCAGTGGGGAAGTGTCTGAAGACGCCGTGGGCTTGCGGGAAGAGCTCTGTGCCTGGAGTTGGAGGGGAGCTCCCGGGGACGTATGTGCTGGGCCAAGTGGCGGTTCCTCACACGTTCAGCAGATACTCGGGAGCCGGGGCCTGCATGCGCCCCTTGCCCCAGTGACCGGAACCGACACTGTTGTCTGGGACGCATCCAGGCCTGGCGGGGACTCGGGGAGGAACGTGTGCAAATGTGGGCCGTCCCTGTGCATGGCCACAGGAGATAGCGCAATGTGGGGAGCACCACCAGAAGAGCTTGAGGGCGGCAGGAGGGTTGGTCTGGGAGGGAGCAGAGTGGCCTGGCAGAGAGGGAGCGGGGAAACTCAGAGCTGCGCGGCCGCACAGCTATGCACGGCTCAGCTGGTGGCCTCTGTGGCCCCTGGAGAAAAGCCAGTCCCTGGGAGAAGGGAGAAGGGCGACATGGGGCCAGATGTTTAGCAGGACTGGCTGGCGCCTCCCCTGAGGGTCTAGGGTGGCGTTGCTGTGGGGGAGTGGACGACGGCATGGGGATGCCCCCTCCACACTCCTCACCGGAGCTTGGGGTCACCCCAGAGACACAGGGCCCACATGGGTCCTGTCAGGCGTGGAGAGAGGCCAAGGAGAGGGCTTGAAAGGGGGCGGCAGGCGGGAGTTGGAACAAAAGTAGTGGGTGGGGCTCATTGCACCCTGTCTGCATCAGTGGGGGCTGGTGTCCAGGCCCCCGGTGCAAGTCTGACATGCTCGCCTCTGCTCAGGGAAGAGGGGGCCCCGGTCAGCAGGGTTCTGCAGCCTCATCGGAAACTGGGGGTTTCCCCCCTGCCCTGCATGTGGGGGCATCGCGTGGGTGTGTGCGTGAGGCCTGCAGTTTCCAGGCAGGTCCTCCCGTGGAGAGGCCAAAGCGAGCACCACTCTGGGCCGTGCAGCTAACCTCTGTGTCTGTTTTCTGTTTGTAGAAAGTCCATGAGATGCTGAAGAAGGGGTGGGATGCAGAAGGCTCCCCCTTCCGAGGCCAGCGGTTCGACCCAGCCATGTTCAACATCTCCCCGGGCGCCGTGCAGTTTTAGCGCCCGGAGGCGAGGATGCGCCCCGGCGCCCTCCTGCCAGGGACTCACCGTCGGGTTTGCCCTTGCCAGCCTTTCTCTCAAGGGTGAACCCGCGGCCCCCGGCCCTGCATCTCCAGACTGTTCCGGAGCAACGTGGGGCGAGCGGGCCGCTGGATCCCCGCTCTCTTCTCGCTGCCGTGCGCACTCTGCTTGCTTTCCCCATGCTTGGGCAGGGTGGGGGCGGGGGCCCGAGCCTGACCTGCCCCTGGGCACGCGTGTGCAGTCTCGCTTGGCCTTTGTGTGCACCCGCTGCCTGCTCAGCCCCGTTGAGGAGCAGAGAGTGGGGCCGTGGGGACGCAGGCCCCAGGTGCAGCAGGAGCTGTCCTCTGACGTCCTCCTGTGGGACCCAGTCCCTGTGAGAGAGCCGACGGGGTGCCCTCGAGACCGCAGCGCGCAGCCCTTCTGCCGCTGCCAAGCCCGGGGCGCTGTGCTGCCACCCCTGCTCAGCCAGCCCCCTGGCCAGCGCCATGGGCTCTGCCCTCAGAGCTGGGGAGGACTCCTTCTGGGGGTGGTCCTTCCGGACACCCCCCTTCCTTCACTTGAGTAGGTGGGAGCTGGCATGTCACAGTCACGTGGGGGGGTTTCTGGCCCAAGGTGGCCAGAAAGTGAGTGGGGAGCCCCCGAATCTCTCCTGATCGGTCCCTGGGAGGCATCAGGTGGCTCTGATGCCATCGAGGGCATTGCCAAGGGGGCCCCGAGGCGGGTCCTGGAGCTGCTGAGACCCTTCTTTCGGCTCCCCGGATTTGCACGCCTGTGTGCTGACGTGTGCGTGTAGGAACTGTGGGCGAGGGTGTGACGGGGTGGGGCATGCGCCTTCACTGGCCCCTTGGGAGATGGGGGAGCTGTGGACTCCGTGGTCACTTGTCTTCCTTTGCCCGACTTTGTTTTCAGTGTTGCGTTTCTGCCTGCCCTGCCTGCTGTGACCGCATCCCACCCTTGTCTGGGAGCGGCTGGCAGGCTGAGGCGCCCATGCACGCCGCTGACGGTGGGCCACCCCTGCCTTCCACTGGGCCCCGTCTGCCCCTCGCTGCTGGCCTGGGCCCTGGGGCCGGTGCAGCCTGCGTGTTTTCTCTCTTTAGACATGGCAGCCGTGGACCGGCCACTGAGCTCCGTCAGCTGAGGTCAGAGGAACGTGGGGTGCCCGCCTGCGAAGTCCCCCTTCTTCAGTGTCCGTTTGCAATAAATCTGTATTTAAACTCTTTGGGGTCCCTGTTTGTCATTTGCTGCTGTGACTGTTGTCTGTAGCGTGCGGATGTTTCTGGAATTCTGACCACAAGGTTCTTGGCTCACGTACAGAGCAGACACCAAAGTGGGGAATTCCTCGGAGTCTTCTGAACCAAGCTGGTCTCTAACCTGTGGTTTCTGGAAATCCAATGAGCTTTGGATCGAGAGAAAAGGATTGTAGCTGCAGGGCCCTGTCCGTCTGCTGTAGGCTCCTGAAACCCCAGGTGAGCACAGATCCCGAACTGCAGCCAGTGGACCCTGGCACCCTATGTTCCTGCACACAGCACACAGTGGGTCTGCCGCACCCCCTCACGGGGGACCTTGCTCAGTGGGCAGGGCCTGCCGCTTTTTCCTGGTAGTGATTCTTGAACGAATGGCGGGGTCGTGGTGGCACCATTAGCACACGGATGCCCAGGGCCAGAAGTAACCCACCAGCGAGGAGAGGCCCCATCTTTCTCCTTTGACCCAAAGCGTGTGTGAGGGAGAACAGAGTCAGCATTTGTGTGGAAATGTGTCCACAGGGCCGTGGCTGCTGTGCAGACGTGTGTGCCCAGAACTGACCTAACACCACCCAGGTCTGCCCCATAGACAGGCCGGCTGTTGCGTGTGAGTCTCTGGATAGCAGGCTGGCACTCATGTGAACACGGTGGGGATGCCACGGTCCCCTGCTGGCACCATCACAGCTTTGGGGGGTGGAGGTGGGGAGTTCTTGTCACTTCAGACTGCTCCCCGAGTGGCCTGCCCCACAGGTCTGCCAGAGCGTGGGGCCCCTGGGTGCCTCCTGGACAGGGTCGGGACGGGACCAGGTGCATGGACACTGGAGCCCACGCCAGGAGAGTCTGGGCTCCCAGGACTCAGTCTTGTTCGTGCTAGGGTAGGAGTCATGTGGTGGGATGGAGACACACCCCAGCTGTGGACAGTAGGCCCGGTGGCCTGATGTGGCCGTCCTGGTTGAGTGGTGTTCCGCCAGGCAGGCCCGAGACATGCGTCCTGGAGAAGGTCCTCCTGCTTTCCCAGGCTTGTTTACCAGAGCCGGATGGGTCCTTTCGGTGCCAACAGTGTGTGAGGACTCATATAGGTGATGCCCCTGAGGCTGGAGCTAGACTCCCTCTTGCCCCACATCCTGCGGGGCTCACTGGCCTCTGCCGTCCACATGGCACTGGCCTGGCTTTGGTGGATGCTCTGCAGGTGGGGAGGTGGGAGGCCCCCAGTGTCATTTGCCAACAGAACCCCAGCAGCCCGGATGTTCCAAGAGGAGGTGTGGAGACGAGGCTGACCACTTCCTAACCTGGGTGTGGGCCAGCTGCCCTCCAGGGGCTCCTTCCTGAGGGAGAGGAGGGGTCCCCATGTGGGTGTAGAGATGGTGCCACTGGAGGCAAGGGGGAGCCCACCCCTGGGGCAGAGTGGTAGGGAAGCTGGCCAGGTCAGGGCTGTCCTGTGGCCTGGAGTGTGGCCCTCAGCGGGCTGCGGCAGGGGAAGCATGGAGCCCTCCAGGGGGTGGTGTCCGCAGAGGGTTTGGGTTAGTAGCGGTCACGGAGGGGTGGCAGCCCTAGCAGCTCTTGTCAGCTCTCCAGCCTGAGCAGGCCACGGAGGGCCCGGGGACAGGAGACCCTAGGCCGGAGCTTGAGACGCTAGGGGAGAAGGTCCTGGGCCCTCCTTTGAAAGCAGCCACAGGGCCCTCCCTCATCCAGACAGGTGACCCCTTCCCGTCTAAACTGACCCTCTGGGCGTAAGTGGTGAGGGATGGAGGCCCCCAGGAGGTGGGGCATCTTGCCCACCCTGTCTCTACCTCTGGTGGGGAAGGTGGCAGGGCGCACCCCAGCCTCCCGGGACGTGGCATCCTCTGGGACACCTGGCAGGCTCAGGACTGCCCCACAGGACCAGATGTGTCCTTTCCTCAGTCCCTGGACAGGGTGTCAACTCCCTCCATTAAGGTGAGGCAGGCCGTGTTTCTGGAGCACTGGATGTGTCAGAGGTCACAAAGGGTATCCTGGGTACTCCCTGGGAGTCCAGGATTGTCACCGCCCTTGATGACAGTCACAGGGCCATGTGCACCCTGTGTTTACAGTTGAGTAAGCAACTCCGTCACCAGAACCCTGGGTTACCTGGCAGTAAACCAAATAAAGCACAAAGACCTGAGGTGAACGCGACTAGGGGTGGATTCTGCAGGCCAGCTGGGACCCCAGTGCACCCCAGGGCCGGGACACAGGTGGTGAGGTCCACTTGCCTGGTGGGAAGGTGCAGGCCAGGGACCAGGTGTGGGACGGTAAGTCCTCCAAAGGCAGCTGCTGACCCCTGCGGGGTCATTGTGGCCCCTACAGAGGTGGGTGCACCTGAGGGCCTCCCGGACCTCACCCAGGCAGAGGACACCACGGAGGTGTGGAGAGGACCCTGTGCTCCCCAGTTTCTGCAGGAGGGGGCTCAGCACCAGGGGGGTGCACCGTTTGCTGCCCCCTTGCCTCCAAGAACCAGACTTCCCACCCACCCTGGACCCTCCAGATCCCTGCCCCCTTGGGTGCCAGACCACACCCCGGACCATCTTCCCTTGACCCATGACCCCCACCTTCCTCAGCTGCACTCGTGACACCAGAGTGTCCAACAGCCGTCACCGGCACCCTGTCCTTCTGACCCCCACTGCTGGGCCTGGTTCCCTCCGCCCCCTCCCCACTTCCTCCAGCCTCCCTTCCTCTCCACCTCCAGGTGGGAAGTGACCTGCTGGCCATGACCATGGCTGTCAAGAGGCCACACCTTTTAATATGTGGTCAAAGGCCCCAAACCTAAAGCTCAGTGGTTAACTGTGGTCGAGTGTGCAGCTCTGGCACACTGTGTGTCCCCAGAACTTTCTCATCGTCCCAAAGTGATAACTCCATACCCGTCAAACATATCTGCATTTGTTGCTGCAAGTTCTGGTTTCGGGGCTCTTTGTCCCCTTGGGAGCCAGGGAATGTGGGGTGGGGCTCCAGGCAGCTGCAGCTGGGGCGGGGGTGGGGGCAGAACTGACCAGCACAGCCTCACCACTGCACACCATCCATCAAGGGGCCCCATGCACCAGGTAGTGGGGACAGGGCACCGTTGTGACCCCAGCCGGCCTGGACGGGGCAGAGCTGGGGGGCCCAGGGTGGGAATGTGCCTGGGGCACAGAGGCCAGAGCCAGGGGCCTGGGGTGCAGACTGACTCTGGGATTTAGGTCCCGGGCAGAGGCGGGGGCCTGGGCAGGAGGCGTCTCAGGAGGTACATTGGCTGCGGGTCCTGCCTACGTAGGACAGGTGAAGGAGTGCCCAGGGGGAGGAGGGGTCCTGCCCACCCAGGACAGGTGAGGGGCTGCCCAGAACGGGGCCTGTGAGGGTGGGGGGAGGTGACAGGCTGCACAAAGCCCCCTCCCCAGAACCAGGGCCGTGGTCTTGGACCATCCAGGGGCCCTGTGTCCTCACAGGCAGCCTCTTGAGGGGCAGGAGGTGCCGGGTCGGAGAACGAGATATGGCCACAGAGAGGGGGTGGGGGCAATGGGCTTTGGGAGTGGGGTGGCCGGCCTCTGGATGGTGGGGGTAGGGGATGCTGTTGCACCTGATTTCAGACTTCTGACTTCCAGACTAAGGACAACTGGTGTTGGTTTAAGCCCCTGAGCCTGCAGGCTACAGCAGCCCCAGAACCTCCTGGGGTAGGGGGAGCTGTGACCTTGGGAGCTGGGGGTCCTGCACACATATTTGCCCAGTGGTGCTGGAGGGATTGCCCCCTATGGCTGTTCTTCTGCCCTGGACCCCGTCTTGTCGGTCCCCAAGCCACCCGACCTGTAGGGTGGTCGCCAGCCGACCCAGGACCAGAGTCCAGATCCCTGTCCACCCTCTTCCCTCCCTCTGCCTCCCTAGGTGGCCCTGGTGGGTCTCAGACAGTGCAATGGAGCTTCTGTCCATCGGAGCCTCTAATGGGGGTGTGGCAGGTGGGGGCTTCTCGGGGATGATGAGGGGCCAGGGTGGGCTGCCCTGACCACTGTCACCACCCTCCTACTGGCTGACCCCTCGGGAAAGCAGGAGACCAGCGTCCATGCTGGCCCCCCAGGGGAGCTGTGGAGGGTGTATGCCCCCTGCTCCCCACAGCCCAGGGGCTGCCTTCCACACTCAAAACAGTCCTGGACAGCTTCTGGGGTCAACTTTCGTTTATTAAAAAAAAAAAAAAGCTTAGTATTTATTTTTGAGAGACAGAGCAAGGCAGTGTGTGAGCAGGAGGGGCAGAGGGAGAGGGAGACACAGAATCCGAGCAGGCTCCAGGCCCTGAGCTGTCAGGACAGAGCCTGACACGGGGCTCAAACACACAAACCATGAGATCATGACCAGAGCCAAGTCAGACAACCAATGGAGCCACCCAAATGCCCCTAAATTTTTTTTAAAAACATGTTTATTTGGAGAGGGAGAGAGGGAGAAATAATCCCAAGCAGATTCTGAGCTGTCAGTGCAGAGCTGGACTCAGGGCTCAATCCCACAAACTGAGATCATGACCAAGAGTGGGACACATAACCAGCTGAGCCGCCCATGAACCACTGGGGTTAACTTTTAACTTCTGAAGTCGAGATAATTATATTGTTGGTCCTCCAACAATGCAAGCGGAAGTGCCATATAACTTGGGACCCTCTGGATTGACTACTGCCAGCGCATTGTTGACCAGAGCCTTACTGATAACATCATGATCAGTGAACATATGTTTTGTGTGATTATTGTGTTACATGCTGTTTTTTCACAATAAAAGAAGCCAGAGAAGAGAGAGCGTTATTAGGAAATCGGAAGGAATAAAAAATACATTTACAATTCTGTGCTGTATCTGTTAAGAAATTTACATATGATGGACTCACACAATTCAACCTGTGTTGTTCGAGGGCCAAAGAAGGTTGTGGAGTGTCCCCCTCTGCTCAGCTCCTCCCCTTTGTCCTGCAAGCCAGGGGAAAGACGGGACGGCCCACGGAACTCGAGAGTCCGCAGCACTCTG